AAAAATATTGTCACGTGTTTAAATCTAGCCTACCGCAAGATGACCATAAACTTGATGGGGATTTACTGGGGATTTACCAAAACACACAAGGACATAACTCAAAAATATTTTAGAAGGATTTCTGATGGAGCAGCAGAAAACAACGGAAGAAGAGAACATTCAGAATCTGACAAAAAAAACAACAAAAAAAAAAAAAACGATTTAATTATTTTGGAACCAAAACAAAAATCAGGAAATACTCACATGTAGCTGTGACAGAAAATAAATCCAAGAAAAGGTAAAAAAAGTAACAGAGAAAAAGTAACTTGAGAGTCGCCATGGAGAGAGACCCAGCTGGATAAAGTCTGCAGTGTAAAGAGACACTGAGGCTGAGAGCTTCTATATCGATTTTGTTAGGCTCCTCCCTCCTCTTTTCATTGCATTACATGAAAAGAGGTAATATGTTACTTCTAAAAATAGGGTTGCGATATGTTTTTCTCTTTAAGGACAAAATATGTAAATCAACCAAAAAGAAAGTCCTAACATTTCCATGAAAGAGTGGGTGTCTTGGCCCTATGGGTCAAAGACAAAGATCACAACGGAAGAACAAACCAAAGCATCTGCAGTCAAGGAGAAACGGCTAAAACGGAGCGCGAAATACAAAAACATGAGGCCAGAATATGGCGGTTACCAATAGGCTACAAAAGTAGTACAATTAAAAAACTAAATATTATCTAGGCTAAAACAAGACAAAGTTTCTGATTGCAGTTCTATAAAGAAGCAGGAGAGAGTTTGGATTTGTGAAACTTGAGAAATGTAAGTAACCAGCGTTAGGATTTATTTTATAAAACTAAATATTCTGAGTCAGACAGGAGTTCAGAAAACTGCTGTTAAAATGAACAAGGACTGCAAACTATCAACATTTCTGATTCCCTTTCACCAATATTTCTTTGCTATTACTGTTTTCGTTTCTGACGGCAGTTAAGGTATAAAAAACAGGTTTTATTTCTTTTGTAGAACATAGCAACATGAGAAGGATGCTAAAGATCTGCTAATTTTGGTTTTCCACATAAAAATAGTTCTATTAAACTGACTTCTACTTCTAGAAATAGGATAGAGACAACCAGAGGGACTCTATTTACTTTGGTTTTATTTTTCTATTTCTATTTTTCGGTCCATAAGTAAATTAGTACAAACATGTCTGGTAAATTCTTTACAAAAAAGTTTTACAATCTTGGTATAATTCCTGCTCTAAGTGGGCCACTCTGTCAGCTAAA